AAATTTGGTGTAATTTTTCAAAATTATTTTTTTTTGAATTTTTTAAATATTTCTCGGCTATGACGCCAAGGCAGCTAATGACCGTCAAGCCCGAGTTTGACCGATTTTGACTAATTTCCGCTCAGCACCCTTATCGTAATTGGTTCGAGGCTGCTAACCGATTAATCGCCGGTTAATCGGCTGCCAAGGCCAATTTCTTTATATTTTAAACATTCATACACTATTCAAAATCTATAAAATTTATTAAAAACGAATATATAAAGTAACAACTAAATAATATTGATTCTCATGTATTGCTCAGTTCCATATTTTCTTGAGTAAATTTGCATACTAAAATTCAAAGTAAATTACATTAATACCAAAACTAATCATATGTTATAAAAAGGGAATATTAAACCATGCATGATTGATCGACATTGTAATCATTGCAGTTCCTTGAAAAGTAGAAGTATCGGTTGGTTTTGGTTGAGAGTTTTCCATAGACATGCTTCAAAGAAGAGAAACCAAACAGTTTTAGTTAAACAAAAATTAATAAGTAGTTTACTAAAGGTCAAAGCAGCAATAAAGATAACTAAACTGTTAGAAGAATATTTTTTCTAGAAACGATTGGCATGGTACTCATTGTAACTCCTTGAGAAGCAGAACTATCAGTAGGCTTTGGTTGGGAGCTTTGGACAATCATACTTCAAAGAGAAACTAACAGTTTTAATTAAACCAAAACTAATAAGCAGTTTAGTAGACGTCAAAACAGAAACAACGATAAATAAACTGTTAGATGAGTGTCTTTTCCATAAATGATTATGAAATCTGTTTTAGAAAATGATTATGAAATCTGTTTTAGAAAATGATTTTTCTAAACAAAAGAAGAAGCAATAAACATTTTATTGTTAACTGATACCAATAAATGGTCTAACCGAAAACAGAAATAGAAACAATAAAAGTTTTATTTGTTTTAGAATGTGTCTCAGAAAACAAATTCTGAAAGTAGAATCTCAAGGTGTGAAGAAAAAAAATGTTTTTGCTTTTGTAAGAACAATAAACATGAAATAGTTTATTATTATTATTATATATATATATATATATATATATATATATATATATATATATATATATATATATTTTTACAGTTGTTCGTTTCGTACGAACAAATTTGTTTTAAGATTGTTAGGAAAATATAGCACAAAAATTGCATGAAAGAACAAAATAAAAAATTGCCATTGAGGTCTCTGTTTATCACAGTATCCTTCAAACAAATTTTACCGATATAAGTGTTTGTTTCCTAGAATACAACAACAAAAAATGATTCTTCAAGATTACATGAACCTTCACTTGGCCGAAAAATATCATGGTTGCAGCAAGAGGTGCAAGAAGCATAATCATATATGAGAGAGAGAGAGAGATCATCTCATTAGGCGTATCTTGGGCCAAATAACGCTTAAGAACACCAAATAACGCCTTAGAATACCGCCCGTTACCACCATCACTTCTATTAACGCCGTTTGTTTGTCATTTTCTTAATAACGTCGGTGTGGGCGTTGCCCACACCTACCGGTTTTATAGGGACCAAACTCATAATGCAAGAAGGTTAAGTTTGAAGTTTTCTGGTAAACCGATGGTGCATTCATACCCAGAGGATGCTTACAAGTTTAGTGATAAATTTTTATATAAACATGTTTAGTTTTAGAAAAAATAAATATATCCTTATCTTTTGTTTCAATTATCTTTATATTCATATAAAATAATAAAATATAGAATCCATTAAATCTCTCTCTCTCTCTCTCTCTCTCTCTCTCTCTCTCTCTCTCTCTCTCTCTCTCTCTCTCTTACTCTCTTTATCAATTTCTTCTTTCTCTTCTCATGAGGTTTAAGAAATATGGTATACCATACTTGATACATGATATCATCTACATATTTGAGGTGTACTAGGGTGACCGCATAAGGCCAATGTCGTAGTTAGGGGTTGATTTTTCCATACGATTCATTATAGTAGATTAGTAATCCAGGCCTGAAAAAAATTGATTTAAAAGATTCATCACCATGCTAAAGTCAGTACATGCTCTGATTCTTGCCAATCTAGTTTGGAAGTCTCTATGACACTACTCCTTCTCTTGAACCCTTAAAGTCATTAAGGGTGTGTGTGTTTGATTATTGATTAACTGATTGTTTCAAAATCAGTGAACCATCTTATTCAAAAATCAAAATTATAAGCTTAAAACTACAATAAGATCACTCAATTTCATAATTGCTTTTGGCTTTCAATTTCATATTATTGATTAATTGATTGTTTCAATTTCAGAAATCAATATCAATTTTCTAATAAATCTGATGCTCACCAATTGTGTCTCAATTTAATAATTGATTGACTTTTGTGTTTGATTGTTTCAATTTTATGTGATGGTTTCTCTTAAAACTAGATTTGAACAATATAATAAATATGAAAAGAATTTTGCTCTTTTACTTCCAAAAAAATTGAATAAATTTGATGACAAATATCTTATGTTGTTTTGTAGTCGTCTTGAAGCCGCACGTAAGTAAGGTGAATGATCAGATATTGACGTCAATGAAATTTATCGAGTTAAATATGGTTAATAGGTTGTTACACAGTGAAACTATTAACCCTGTCGATGATTTAAAACATATGAAAAAAGTTAATTGTTTTTTTTTCAAATACAATTAATACATATAAGGTCACTACTAGAATATAGGTCTTTAAAGACACATGAACCATGACACAACGATTTACGATATGCTAAAGTGCATGTACTAAAAATAACATCACCTCTCCCAAAATTTAAAGGATTAAGGAAACATATTTTTGCATGCCCTAAAATTAGTGTCGAAACAAAAAAAATAAAAATAAAAACACGGATGGCGCCTATAATAAAATGTGTGTCAACTAAGCGTGTCGTTATTGATCTAGATTATGTTATCTACTTGTTGGTGGGATTTCTATCACTTTCAAGTTTAATTTATGTTGAACTGATAAAGTACACGTGAGGTGTTCAACGAAATGCTTGAGTGAGACTGGATAATACTTTCTTTCTTTTTTTGGTTGTCTAAAGAATGAGGTGGTGAGATGGGTAAGGATGGAACCTATAATATTTCACATACACTACATTATAGACTTTTTTTTAGTGAATCATCATCATATGGTTTTAACTATCTAGTTATGGTGCAGTACATTATGGTAGGCTGAGGGCATTCTGTTGAAAGATGCTAGACAAGGGTAAGTTGGTCAACAACTATAAGTGGCAGTTAGTGTTGTATAAATCGAAGCCTTGAATTAGTTTCTTGAAAGGGTGCCCTAAAGTAATGCCTTGACGATTTGAAGGGGGTCGATTCTCAAAGGGTTACAATGTTCCTTCAAGAGTTGCATTGATTTTTATTTTGTATATAGGTATATATATCCTACATACTTATAAAGCTAGCATTTTTTCTTGAATCTCATGCATTTGAAATCCCCATTCCTTTTTCCTTTTATCACATTCATTTGAAACTCCCACGACTTTTCAATTTCTTTATAATAATAATTATAATTTGGCAATTAGGTTAAATAAATATCAAATCTAAAGTATAATCATATATAAACTAAATTTCAATATTAAAATAATATCTTTACACCTGCTATTATGTTTTTTAACATTTAACATATTATACTTAATTTATTAGTTTTAATATATTGTTAGATGTAAACCATTATCATTTTAAAGGTATAATTTTTAAACAATTTGTATAAAATACTTAAATTATTAATTAAAATATAACATTATAGGCTCAAGTTAAATATAAATTTTATTTAACTCAAACAACCCAAATATTATTTTATAAATAGTTAAAGTGATAAATGGTTTTGACTTTTTAATAATGATTGTAAGTTGGTTAATAAGGTTAAATAAATATCAAACCTAAAGTGTAATCATAAATAAACTAAATTTCAATTTTAAAATAATATATTTACTTCTATTTATAAAGTTATGTCTTTAAATTTTAACATATTATACTTAATTTATTAGATTTAAAATGTTGTTGCATGTAAACCATTATCAATTTAAAACTACAACTTTTGAACAATTTGGACAAAATAATTAAATTGTTAATTTAAATATAACATTACAGTGTTAACTTAAATATAACTAATTCTACTAAAAAACCAAAATAATATTTTATAAATAGTTAAAAGTGATAAATTATAGTGATAAATGCAAAAACTAAATTGTAATATCAGTTTAACTAAAAAATTTCCTAAATATATTTTTATAATCAATAAAAAATTTCAAATAAGTAGCTTAAAATAACTTATAATAACAATAGTTAAAAATAACTCTATATAAATGATTATATTGTTATCTTTAAAATCAAAAAATAATATTTGATGTTTTAAATAATTATAATGATAGAAATTAAAACATTAAGCAAATAAATTTTAAAAAATTAGTTAACAATAACAACAACTATAAATAATAATAAACCATATATAATATTTAATTTTATTGATGTGTAACTCGCGAGTAGAAGCTTCTTCAAACGATTGAGATTATGAATTTATAATAGATATGTATATATATATATATATATATATATATATATATATATATATATATACACATATACACTAGCCGTTTACCCGCGCTAAGCGCCGGACGGCAAAGAGATGAAAATAGCCTCAAAACTTCAGAATCAAAGCAACATAAATTACGAACACCGGGGCACATGAAGAACAAAAGCATATAGAATCGATCTGATGCACTACTTATCCTTAATTTTAACTTTTTTTTTTTGTTATTTAACCATTACTTTCAAAATACAATGCATAGTTAGGAGAAGAAAAAAAATTGTAATATAAATGCAAGCTTTCACCTCGTGATGTGACATCTTGCCACAACAGATGCGAATAAAACATTTCCTAGAGGCTAAAGGCTAAACCCTACAGTACCATCATCGGACACGAGCTTACTTTTTTTTATTGATCTTAAAATCAACTTGTTGATGGAACCTAAAGCCTATGCAGTATTATCCAAATAGAAATCACAATCAAGTCTATTCATGAGTCCATCATTTGGCGGTTCAATGGCTAGAGCGAATGCACCGCAAGTGTCCATGATCAGGTTCACCCATAGAAACTGCACAACAGGTGCAGGTGCAGACCCTGAAAAATATTCATACCCATAAATTAGCACCCATAAATAATATATTTATCCTAAATACTTAAAATTGATTTCAAATGATCTACCTTCTTGCAAGTTGACATTGGATCATTAGAGTAGAAAGGTGGATACTCTACAAGCATTTCAAACATAATCGCCCCAAGAGACCACCTGAAGAATCAAATTATCATTTTAAACATACAAAGTTGACAATGGAATCAGGCTTAAAGTAATTCATGAACCTATAAAATTACTTACCAATCACATTTAAGTGCATAACCCTTTTTTGACACTGCCTGTTGTCTTCTCTCTGCCACTATAGCAACCCAATGCCTGATATAAGAATCCAAAAACCAACCACCATAGTTATCCAATAGCTTTTTAATAACTGAGAAACATTGCAAAAAAACATGTACATTACAAACACAATTAATCTTCCAAAATCCTAGTTTTTTGAACAAATGCATACTTATTTTTGCACTTTATAATAATAAACAATAAAGTACCTTTATCAACAAGTCATTGTAATCAGAGTCTTTTATATGAAGAAGATTGGAAGTGAAGGCTACAAGTTCCCAAAATATTTCATCAAGCACCCCGGTAGAGTTAAAAGCAGCTGCATCAACGAAGCTTGAAATAATTCTCAGGGACTTGTTTAAATTGACAACATCTTGATCCTTGCACAATTTTGTAACGTGGGTAAACAACCCAAAAAACAAAGTACATGATCAAAAACATCATTTACAGTTAAAAAAACATAAATTTTCACCTGTACACCATGTTTTTGAGAGGCAACAAGATAACTGATAGTGCTTTGTTATCATGACCAATTAACTTGACACCCTTAACAGTGTGAGAGCTATTTTCCAATTTGTCAAGAACCTGACAACATGAAATAAGTATTGAAACTCAAACAAAATATAAACATAATATGAAGAGAAAGGTAAAGTTTCTGTTAACTTGTAATTCATTAAAAACATCCTAAACTATGTAATTTTATCTACCTGACTATATATTTTCAATTTCTTTAACCCTTAGAGACTCTAGTTGTGGTGATGAACAGTCAATAGCTGAGTATTAACCAAAAGGTTGACTGTTTTCATCCAAAGTTGTGGCCTGTGGGAGATCGGTTTTTGTCTGTAGTAATGTCGAGTAAGCTAGTTAGGCTCATTTAAGATCAGAAGGGTATATTTGTAAATTTTCATTGAAGCCTACTTTTTGGACTTGCAGGGATCAAACCAGTTGACTGTACATGTTTTCCTCCTTTCCAAGCAGCATTACATCCTCTAGCAGCAACAGTTTTAGCACAAAGCTTCTTGAAATTTTATATTATAATTAAATGGTTAATTTTCTTGATGAAAAAAAAACTGAAAAGCAAATTTCACAGAATAAGCGTTCTTTTGTAACACTACCTTCCCATTTATTTTTATCTCTGTGATTATATTTTCATTCCATTCCATCACACAAAACACAAAGTTTTTATTCATTCCAATGGAATAAAGCATTCCATTCCTTCATTGACTTAATTCCATCTTTGACGTTTACCCTTTTTCGTAAGCTGTCAAGTCTAAAGTAGTAACAGTACTACTCCATTAGAAGATCATTGACGCAAACATAAAACTAAATACAAAAGTAAAATTGTGAAAACTGTTAACTATGAATTGTTAATCGATTTGTGATGTATTAAGAGAAAACAAAAAAAAATGCCTATATTACCCCTCCTTTTACTCACATTGCTATTAAGGGTGGAAGTGGCAGTGCATTGCTATACAGGGATGCCTCTCCATTCATAAAACTCATTCCAACTACTTAATTTGTTTAATAATATGGACAAAGTCCCTGCATTTTGCAGTTTGTGTAGAGTAGCTTTCAAAAGTAAGTATAAATGATTTGAAACTACGCCAATGAAAATTTAAAACAGTACCTTTACAAGGGCATAATTTACTTGAAAGATTCCAGCCCTTGTCTTACCTTCTAATTAAATAAATAAACAATGAGATCCCATGTGTATTTAATCATAGGTGTATTGAAACATCGGGAGAAAAGAAGGATAAAAAAGGAACATCAAATGATCCAAGGAAGGAACTGAATCCCCACAACTACATTCGCATATCTAGAATCCTACACAGTGGATCCCCTGTTTATCCAATAATGAGCATCTAGTCTCCACCTTTCCACAAACCTGCAACACTTCAGTCAAGTAAAATTATATATAAAATATGTATAGATTGTGAAATTATAAACAACAAAGAATTAACCAGGGAACCAGTGAAACTGATGAGACACAACTGAACCATCCCTGCCAGTTGGACTCAAATAGCATCGGTTTTGACCCATGGTGGGCCTGGTGGCTTCATCACTTGCAACCACTATTAGCAACAAATGTAATGATAGGAACTTCTCATTGCCATCAGGGTTTGCAGGAATATGCAGCAACTGTAGGAAAGTGACAGGGCCATCACGCTTTGAAACAAGCTCAGTAAAATCAGATGAATCTTCCACATCAATCAGTTGAAAACCAGTTTGATCCCCCAAAAAGACGAAATGATTCCCCATACCAACAACATCAGTTTCAATTTTACAGAAGATCGACAAGAAATTATGAAAAATGTGATCGATTTTTGCATACCTTAATGGTTCCTAGGGCAAAAAGTGTGATTCCGATGTTGTGGTGAGTGTTGTATTCGATTCCGACGGAGTCGCTGCCAAATTTCAGTCCGGTGGCCCATCCGGATACTCCGACGACATAGGCGGAAGCTTGGCAGGTGACATGGATCAGGATCTTCGAAGGAGGTAGTGGTGGCCTCTTGCCACCATATGCTCGGTCCAAGGAGCTTCTCAATGTTTAGCGGGTCACCGTCGTGCGCACTGAAGAGATCTGCCTCTCCGGTGAAGTACCTTCATTATCTCCGTAAGCATATGAATACCAAGCCGTATCATGGTCCCATTCACTTCCGTGCTCCTTCGAAGATCCTGTGGCGTACCATCTGAGGTCAGGTGGCGACGGTGGAGGCGTTGAGACATTCAGCAACGACGACAAGAGAGAGACAGAAGGAAGAGGGTTTCGATTTCATTCCGATGGCGGTGTGTGTGTAGTGTTGTGTTTAGAGAGATTAGGGTAACATCTTTGATTTGGTAACACCATGTATACCTATACAATAAGTAATATCGTGGATACTTATACAATTATAAGCTTAATATTATTGTACATGTAGTAATAAGTATTGTACCTCTTAATTTTCAAGAAAGAGGCAATATGCTTAATAATATAGTAAAGATATATATATATATATATATATATATATATATATATATATATATATATATATATATATTATCATATAATTCAAAATAATCAATATATTTTATCAAATTAATATACGAATTATTATATCAAATTTAACAACAACGTTCGTGTTATATTTAAAAAAAATATAAATTTGTAAAGACTTCAACTATATAGGTTTTTATACACATTACAATGTCAACTCAAACATAAATGCCAGTTCCATTTAAAAAAGTAAAGAATATTTTGTAAATAATTAAAAGTGTTAAATTATAGTGATAAAAGCAAAAACTAAATTGTAATCTTAATTTAACTAAAATATTTTTATAATCGTTAAAAGTTTCCAAATAAGTAACTTAAAATAACTTACAATAAAAATAGTTAAAAACAACTCTATATAAATGATGATATTGTTAACTTAAAAAAAACAATGTTTGATGTTTAAATAATTATAATGATAGAACTTAAAACATTAAGAAAATAAATGTTAAAAAATTAATTAACAATAAAAACAACTATAAATAACATCAAATCATATATTATATTTAATTTTATTCATGTGTAACTCGCGAGTAGAAGTCATTCAAACGATTGACATTTTGAAGTTATAATAAATGTATATATTATCATATAATTCAAAATAATCAATATATTATATCAGTTTATTATATATAAATTATTATATCAAATTTAACAACGTTATTGTTATATTAAAAAAACATATATTTGTAAAGACTTCAACTATATAAGTGTTTCTGCGCAACGCGCGGACATTCGTCTAGTCTATATATATATATATATATATATATGTGTGTGTGTGTGTGTGTGTGTGTGTGTAGGTAACGTAAAGTGTATGATGATATTGTGATTAATAAAAATTATGTTTGGACTGAAATCTCTTTATCTCTTCATGTTTCAATACCTTTCTCCAAAAAGTGGTATTAGAGCCTGGTTCAAGATTGAAAGATAGAAAAGGTTTTGAAGATAGAAGCGGAAAGAGATGAGAAATCACACAAAGAAAAAGAGATTGTTACGAAGGGGTCTCAATGATATTTGAATGCATGAAGAAGATGATGCATGGAGCGAAGAGTTCATGTGGATACAATGTTCATCCATGGATTCCTAGGTTTTGATGAACAAAAAGCCATGTAATTAAAGCCCGATCGAAAGAGAAACAACAACCAAAAGTATGCCTTAAGTGGATTGCATATGCATCAATCAAAAATGACGAAGATGATTGTTGAGAGGGTTATTTCAGTAATAAATAAAAGTTGCAATTACAAAGGCTGTAATAGAGTAACAAGAGATGGTAAATTTATAGAAAAAAAGTTGGTATCTCTGTACATGAGCATGTTTCTTCTATTCTTCACTAAAGTCAATAAAGAGTAGGCAACATCAGAAGGTAGGGATTATTGTAGTCTTCACGTGGAGTTGTCAAGAAAGTATGGTCAAAATAGATTGCTTTCCATCTATTGTACAAGGTACATAAAAATATTGATACAGTATGAAATTTTTGCTTAAGAAATTTGATGTACTCCTTTCTTAGATGATGCTTATGTGATCGAATATTGGAAAGAGATTCTTCGGGCAATTAACTCCAACATAGTGGAGATTGATGAAATTTATAAGATTCTAAGTAAAGACAACTTTTTTTTGATGATCCTTAATGGATCAGTTTGGTGGAAGAAATTTCAACAAAGTAAAATATTTTGTATTTTTTTTTTCGTGCATTTCTTTCTTTCCTTCATACTTACCCATCTGGGTTTATATGTTATGGATATCTCTTTTTATTTTAACATGTGTTATGTTCCTTTTTAATCTCACAAGCTACTGTGAGATTTACACCAACTATCCAAATATCTCTATTTATTTGTTAGTATTTATTCATCTCATACAATCTATTCTTTGTTAATCTTTTGTTATCATATTTCTATAAAAATAAAACATGTTAACATAATAACGTATAAAGAAAGCATCTTAATAGTTTCTTGGAAGTACCTAAAATATTTCTATTGATTATCTAGTAGTGATTCTTTTACTTCGAATATCTGAGGCTTTGGACACCAAGAGTACTTGTCATTTCTTTCTAGTAGTTGCATCTGTTAACATGATATCTTTTAATTATGTAAAAGATACGCAAAGCTTATAAAATCTAATATTGTCTTAAACGCTAGACACATAAAGGATCTCATTGTTAGGTTGTTGGAACTGATTTCCGTCGAAATGATTTTACTTTATTGAAGTGGCCTTGTTTAGGTCGGTGATTTGGTTTATGGGATGAGTTTCTTTCCTTATTACAGTTTTCTTTTTATAAATTCACCTTACTTTTCATTTCCATTCCTTTTAGTTTCTGATTTCCTTCTAAAATTATTTACCAATCTTAAGTAAATTGCTTTACTTCTTTCATAGTTACCTTATTTTTCAAGTTTCAGTATAGTTCTTGAAAACAATTTTCTTCATATCATGTGATCTTTTCCATTTGTTCTAGTCTTTTCCCTCTTTATATTCCTTCCATATTCAGTCTTTCAACATCTAATTATCATATTTGAGTGTTGGGTTTGCTTTCGTTTTTGCTACTTTGTTACCCATGTGTTCGGTTATTTTTTCTTAGATCAAGATAGTAGGTCACATTGATATATAGAACAAAGTTGATTCTTTTATATATTTGTAACGTTGTTATATGTTTTATTCTCAGTTATTGGTATGTTCTTTTTTAATAATTTAATATTCCCTTTTGTTCTCTACTATATGTTGAGCAATTAATAATCATGATTTCAAATATTTATTGGTGGGTACGATCCAAGTGTTTCTAATGAAAACCTAAGCAGGGTGTTTAGTAAATTTGGTGAATTAATTCATGTTAAGATACTAGTAAGCAAGCAATGTGGATTTGTTCAATTTGCCAATAGGTATCAACATAATGATTCTTGAGATTTAATTTACTAGTTTATATATTTTCAATTTTTTAGAAAATTGGAACTTAATTACTTTTTACCTTTTTGTAATAGATGAAAACAGTCAAGTTATGATGGAAACAAATTAAAAGGAGAAGCTTTACTACCAACTCCACTTGAAGAGTAGTTCATTGTGAAGGTCAAAAATACACTTGAGCACATACTTAATTGGTCGAGATACCTAGTTATTCAATACTCTAACCTAGTAATACATATTTCATTATGTTTCTACTTTTCCTCACAATTATAAAGATTGGATAACACAAAGTATTTAACATATTTCAACATTTAACCTCATAATGAATCCACACTTGAAAATTTTCAAAGTATTTAATAGATTTTATCACGAAAAGTGAACTGGGGGGGTCCATTAGCATCCCACAATGTTCTGTGATGTACATAAAAATCATGTTCTACATGATCAGTGTTTGGCTAGAATGGATCAGACTTTATATGTTTCATTGATATTTTTTTATTCTCTAAACGAAAAGTTCTGACCTGATTAGTTTCAACAATGTTAGAATGATCATTTATATGTAATTGTGTAGTGTCCATTTCAGTCCAGAGGTATTGAATATGGCTACTACCTTTTAATGTTCATGAAGGAGATAGTTGAGGAAGGAACTGAGGTGTTGGTTAATGATAATAATGTATGTATCATCCCAAAATTCATGACCAAAAATTTCATATTTAATATAACTAAAATACATTTGTAACTTGGTTCACACATTGAAAAGCATTTCAAAGAAAACGTTTATCAAAGTTCATTCCCAGAAATCACATATTGCAGAAAACATAGGTGTATGCGTTACGACCATCCCCAAGCTCCTTTATTTGAAAAACTGGAGGTACTTGAAACCAAAACTGAAAACCGTGTGCAAGAAGCTTAGTGAGTTCCCCAAATACCACATACCATACAATAAACATATTGCCTAGCATATCCAGGTGATGGCCTACCCTTCAGTCTCTTTCAACCGGATATTACCATACATAACCGTGAGCCATACATATCATTCATATATCATAATCAAATAAGATGTTATGTGCAAATATATAGTCTTGCCATTATGCTATGGGCCGCTACGTGGTCTTTCTTGCCAAGTCGGGGGGCACCTCCTCGGTCGTATAGACAAGTTCCAAGAGCCACTCCTAGTCTTTCATGCATGCATCACAAAGACAACTAGCATACATACTACTTTACTTAGCCAATTAGCATACAATATGCCAGGAGCCACCTCCTTGTCTTTCATACATAATACCTAGGGCTAACCCTTGAGTCTTCCTCCTATACGTAATAGCATACAGTGTGCTAGGAGTCGCCTCCTGGTCTTTCATACATAATGCCTAGAGATAACCCCCGGGTCTTCCTACCATGCATCAAAAAAATGGTCCGACATTGGTGCCTTCGACCCATCCAAAAAGTGAGGAGACTCAACTCACAATCTTGAAGTCCCGCGGATAAAGTTGTGGTTGTTGGCTGATAGATCCCCCAAACTGTCAACATCAAAACAACACCCAATTAAGAATTGGGTTCCAATACATAACCATAAGCACACACTTGGGGTAAAAGGACCGTTTTACCCCTAACATAGCTTGTTCCAAGACCAAGGCCCAAACTCACAATCTGAAGGCCCAAAAGCCAAATAATCAACCAAGGCCCAACTATAGCCCAATTTCCAAATTGGGCCCAAACCTTTATATGGTTTTACTTTAAGGCCTAATCATTTATTCTAGTCCAAACACTTGGCATTCCGCCGTTTCAATATCTTATAATCATCAAGGCA